CAGCATCCATGGATTAGGGTGAATCATTCCCTCTGGTCTGACTTAGTCATTCAGTTTTTCATTGCCATCATATTTATAGTCTCCCTTTCATATACAAAACAAGCATCTTACAAAAAATGTCTATATTGTAAAGACACAAGCTGTTCAGCTTCTCTAGTTCTTGATTTCCTCATCTAGCAAACAGGGAAATTGCTAAGCATGTCCTATTTTAGAAACATATACACAATGTATAATAATTATCACCCTGAAAACAATAATCAAACATGTCTTCACTGCCCACAGGTGTTATACCAACCACTTGCTGGTGAAGAGATCCTTTGAGGTCCTCAAAGTTAGATTTAAGGGTTGGCCTGAATTGAACCATTCTAAATCTTTGGGAAAGATCATCACTTTCCCTGTGATGAGCTAACACACCAAGAGGGGCTGAAAGCACTAGTAGAGAGATAGGCGGGATGCACCTGTCCTTATGGATCTCAGAAGAGCCACCCTGTGTTCTGCTTCTGTGATGCCAGAAACAAACTTGTAGGGCCACAAACATCAGTAAACCAGGCTTTTGGCTCCATGTACCTCAAAGGCCTTTGGGAGAGAAAATTCAAGAGGAAAACTTATTTTCAGCTTCTAAAAGGGAGATAAGATTTATGTTATGACTGTGCTCAAATCCCAAGGGGTCCTCCTAAATCTCCAAGGCCTCAGGGAATAAATGCAGGCAGGGACAGGTAGGGTCTCAGAGCCTGCCTTCCCTGTCAGTGAGCCAGGACTTCCGGTCCAGACGTCAGACAGAGAATGAGCACTTTCCACTTAGCGAGGGACCATGTTCCTCAGTTCCTTTTACTATTGTATTTCACAAAGAGATTTTAACACTGCCTTTACTGTATCCTTGAAAGTGTTTACAAGGACTTTTGAAAAACTCAGAAGGTCCTGTCAAAATCTGAATTAAATTCAAGGCAACTACATTTAAAAATTACAATCACTGATCTTATAAAATTGTTACACTTTCAAAAAAGCCACAGAGTACCACAAGTGTGCTAGATGTAAGGGAAAGTTTTTATATGTTTTGAAATGTAGTACTTTGATTCTAATGTCTGTCATATGCTAAACACATGTGACCCTAAGTAAATATCTCAAAAACCCACTATAAATTAATCATCAACTTTAATGGTTTCCTCATTTCAAAACACATTTGTTTTGTAAGTTAACGCCTTCAGGCCAAGATTTTAAGGTGACTACACAGAGTTTAAATGAAAAACATATCAGGAAACATATGTCCATGCAACCACACACACAAAGACTCCCACATACTTATAGTTTCTCTCTTGCTTAACCTCAAAGTGGAAGGAGAGAAATGCATGTTTGTGAGTCTTAGGCTTTGCTACCAGTAATAATTTTTGTTACTTTGGAAATCTTACCTTCACCTTATCAAGACAAAGTTAACAGGAATTAAATTTCTCACACTATCTCCCTTTCCTTACCAGCTTCTGTTTATATGTTTCCAAAAGTTTTCTTCAGAAGAAAAGGGCACACTGAGACTTGAGACCTCTATAAAAATAAAAAAGGGGAGACTATTTCGAAAATCATTTAAAATCTAGTATTCATTTCTCGAACTTCCTTCATTTTCAAGTTTACGGCGTAAGTTCTTATTCTCTAGCCTGCTCATTCTCCTAAATCTGCTTCCAGGTCTAAGGATATCCTGGCTCACACACTTTCCACAGGAGGAGACTGAGGCATTAGAGAGAGGTCAAAGGCAGCTCCGGGGAGGGAGCTGGCTGGGGTTTTTCCCTGACCTCCACCTGCAGCTCAAAGCAAGCTGAAGGCTGTGTTCTCCACTCATCTCCTCTGCAGGCTAACAAGGACAGTGTAAGTCTCACCGATGACACACCTGGAAACAACTGGCTACTTCCAACACAATAAAAAATTTAAATTTAAAGTAGGATGAAATTTTGTAAGGAATATTGTTGTCATACACCCAATGGTATATGAAAACAAATTTGGGGGGAAGTGATATGAAAACACTGAGCAAATGTTTCATTCTTATGTCTTAAATAATCTGATAGAACAAGATTCACAAGGATGAAATTTTTAAATGATCTTTGTCTGTGCTTAAGGGCCTATCTTTATTAATGCTAAATGTAAAGTGGAAGCATGATAGTATAATTTAATATAACAATATACAAACATATAAAACATTCATAACAATCTACTTTCTGAAAATGTAATCATCTATTTCCCTTGGAACACAGATGTAGTCCAGTATGTATTTAACATTTTATTTTGTCTTATTTTCAGTAGAAATAAACTTCTACTTCCCTAAAACAAATTGGAACAATTGCAATGTTTTTGTTTTATTATTGTTTTTGTTTTAAGCAATGTTTCAATCAGAGCAGAAAACAATAGTTTATACATTATACATACATAAAAAGATATCTCTATTTTTTTAAACTTTCAGTTTGATAGGTACTATAACTTAAAGGAAAAATATTACCTTTATAACTAAATTCAGTACAGTTTATTGACAATATCAAGACTGACTTAAGAACCTGGGTTGGTCCAGAGTCAGGCCAAGCTAGAACTTTGTACAAAACTCTCATGTTTGTATGGTTTACACAGTACTTTCAGATGTGTTCTTTCACTGGATTCTCATAATTTCCTTAAGAAAGAGAAACAGGGCTAGAGATTTAGCTCAGCGGCATAAGTGCCTGCTTTGCAAGCACACAGTCATGAGTTCGATCCCCAGTACCGATAAAAAAAAAAAAGAAAAAGAAACAGTGCAGGTATTAAGATCTCCCTAAAGCTGATATTTAGATACATTCTCCAATCCTTTGTTCTACTTGGAAAAACAAAAGTGCACCTGCCCCATTGCAGAGGAGAACTATGATGGGTGTGGTCATCTGTAAGTACTATGGCAGAAACAAAAACAAGACAAAAAAATTGGCATTAAGCACGTATAGTATCTTCTTTCACTAGTGACCCAGAATCATGAAGAGAAGCTAGTAGTTAATTATTAAGGAAAATTTTTCTCTTAGGATAACAATGATTATTCACTCATTTTCTGTTCACTCAACAGATCATAGAGCCCTTAATGGGTAGTACTCCAAGATCTGAAGTCAGGAAGTTAGGAGGGAACTACACAGAGCCCGTCTTTGAGAAAACCTACATTCTTGCAGAATGTGCTAAGCAATAAACAAGAAGAATCATCTAAGAAAGTGATCCATCCTATACAGGAAATACACTTTGGTATTTCTGATGTTTTTTGAATGGGAGGATAGGGAGGTAAGATATGATTTGAGGCCTGAGGAATTGAACATCCAAGCAGAGCCAAAGTTCATAAATATGAATGCCTTAGTTACGTTCCTCTCATTGCTGAGACAAAACACTCAATACCCAAAATTAAGGAAGGAAAGGTTTATTTAGCTCACGTTTTGTGAAGATTTTAGTCCATTTTCAGTTGGCTCCAAGGCAGGGTAGCATGACAGAGGTGGAAGTCAGCAAAAGCAACAAGAGTGAAAAGGGCAAAAGGAGAAGGCTCTTTCCTTCCCTTACACTGTATACAGGCCACCCAGCCCAGGGCGGGTGCAGCACTCTCACCACCAGTTCTAGCACAGACAATGAAACACTCACAAACCATAGATTTAGCCACCTCTGAAAGGCCTGCCCCTGACGATAGCATGAGGCTTTAGGGGGACATCCAGATGCAAACCATAACACTGAAAGAGCTGCAGTGGGGCAGGCCAACATGACTGGACATGTGAACAAGGGTAAATGGATAGAAGCTGTGTCCGGTCATGAAGAATCTGAAAGGCTAGGGAAAGTAGTAGAAGGTTGTTTCAAATATAAAGAGACGCCACCATATTATTTCTAAAAAAGAATGAGATATCATCCGACTTGTAATGTTCATAGATCACTCCATTTGCTAAGTTATATGAAGGTATAGTTGGAAGAGGGAATCCAGTGAAGAACCCATTTAAATAGCCTAGCTAAGACATGATGGTGTTTCACAGAGATGAAGTGGAAGAAACAAAGGAGACTGAGTCAAGATGTAGTTTGAGAACAGAATTCAGAGAATTTGTCACAGGAGGAAAGAGAAAGAAGTTGCCCAAAAGGAAAGAACTGAGACAGTAGAAAGGAGAAAAGAACAGGAGAAAAAAGTATATATATATATATATATATATATATATATATATATATACACATATACATACATACACACACACACACAAAAAAAGCTGCACTATTAATTCTAATAGTTTATGGAAAGGAACAATTGGTGCTTATATTCTTTGATCAGTTTTGCATGCCTATATCTGGTAATCTGAACAACTATTTTGAAAATAATAGTATGCAATATGATGACCACTGTTAATTTCCTATCATCTTGTTATGAAGTTCTATATCATTTTTATTGTTTTTGTTTTGTCTTTTTAAATTCTCTTTAAAATAAAAAAAGAATTTATCAAAAGACTAAACATGGGGGAAGGAGAGGGAGAGGAAGGTAACAGGGTGACTTTCAGGTCCTCTGGCTTGAGCATGAAATGATGGCATGATTGTACAGGATTATGAAGTGACAGTCAAGGGCTCTGTTCTAGGTGTTACGTCAGAGATATCTACAAGAAGTCTAAGGGAAAGAGATGGCAAAAATGAGGTACATGAAGTGAAAGTTTAGGAAAAGGAAGTTAAAAACTAGGAAGCCGTCAGCATATGGATAGCAACTGAACCCGTGGAACTGAATGACAGTGCCTAGGAAAACAGTAGAGAAAAGGGCTCTGATCTTCGTACAAGTAGAAGAAGCAACAAAGGAATGTGAGAGTTACTAGCAGAAAAACCATGAGTCAATCTATGTGCTACCTCGTCTAAGTACCCCAGGAAGTCCAGAGGTGAAGGCAAGTAACTATCAATTATTTCTGACACTGCTATTCTTCTGTCAAATAAAAACAACTATCTTTATCGACATCATACCTGTAAGGATGTATTAGAAGCTAGGATGCTTCGGACTTCAAAAATATTACCTTTGCTCCAGTGTCTCCAATTCCACGTAAACCCATGGGTCCAGGGGGTCCTGGTAATCCTCGAGGTCCCTGTGATAACACCACAAGGGAACAGTGAGGACACTTATTATACAGTGTTCAGAAAGATGGAAGGGAGGAAAAGTAATGTTTCAACATTGCTACGTTTGAAGATTAATTACATATTTTATAAAGAATCAGAAGAGAGGGGCTCAAAGTTTTCCCAAACAAAGAAATGATAAATGTTTAAGGAGATAGAAATGCTAATTACAATGATTTTACCTTTACACATTACATGCATGTATCAAATCGTCACACTATACTCCACAAATATGTGGTTAAACATAAATTAAAAATGAATACAATTTTTAAACTAAAAAGTAAAAGCAACATCAACACTTACAGCCACACCAGGGTAGCCATCGCCTTTGAGTCCAGGAGCACCCACTGGTCCCTGAGGGCCTTGGACACCCTGAGTATTCCAAAATCAGATGATATCATGAGAGTAAAGCATGACTCATCAAGGAAAATGTAAGCATAATACCATGTCAGCATACCAAAGATGGATTTGATAAGTGCAATGGAATGATAGGAAAATGTTTAGGAGAAAATCCTACCATGTAGGGCAACTCCACGTTATCTCCATGAGTCTAATGCACCTTAGCTCAGGGGAAAATATAGCATGCAAGTAGGTAACACATAGGAATTGTTATGAAGTCCTCACAGGAAACACACTTCACAGGAATTATAAGACATTTTATATTATATTAAGATATAATACAATATGCTGATAATCTTTTGATTTTAAAAATTACCAAATTTGCATGTTATGAGTCAGGAAGAGAAAATGAGAAAAATTTAATAAGCATAGTATAAAAGAAAGAATACATAGAAAATTTTGAGTGTGGAAGAGGGAGGGGAAAGATAAGAATAAAGATGTGTTATATACACGTATCAATTTCCTATGATGAATGCAAACCTATACCACAAATATGTACTAATAAAAAGAAAAAATTAAGTGTAGAATCAGGTAACTATATGATCTACTATCACATTAAATCTACTGTCCTCATCCATGGCACTCAAATCATATGGGGAATTAATAAACTCAAATGAAAACCTAAATACATTAATTTCTTAGAAATTTATGAAGCAATGGGATACTGATAGTTTGGCTTTACATCTTAGGACTATGAAAATGTTTTAAATATTGCTAAGTGATATCCTTAAACATCGAAAGCTTTCAGGCCAGCCAAACCTAATGTACTAGCTATCATCAACACAAATATAAGATGATTTCCTAAAGTTGCCTAGTAGAAAGGAAGAACAAAGTCTGTAGGGAACATGAATTTTGGAGCATCCCAAACTACAGGAACCTAGTCATTCTGCAGGGAAAAATTCTGTATTATTCCAACTATCTTTAGAGTGAGAAATTCTGAACACTCACAAGATTTATCCCTAAATAAGACTCCTGTTCGCCTTGGGCTTATACAGGAAGAGGGCCAACAATAAAATAAAGCAGAATCTGTCCCATCCCCCCCCCATGTCATGTTGGAAAGAAAAGAAATTTGGAATCAAAACTCACTTTTCAGCTTTTATTTCTGTGTTCTAAGTCAATAATTTAATAATTATTGGCAACTGTTGTTAATTAATCTCTGACACCCACAAAGATAGAAAAAACATGAAAACACTCAGAGTTTGCAAATCTTTTGCTAGAGATTTTTTTTTTGAGATAGAGTCTCATCATGTAGTTCAGGTTGGTTTTGAAATATGTAGTCCAGGCAGGTCTCAAACCTGTGGCAATCCTCCTGCCTCAGCTTTCTGGGTACCGGGACAACAGGCATGCACCACCACACCCAGCTTTCCTAGAGATTTTTGTCCTTTCTCCCAAAAATTCCAGTTAGTTTGTAACATCTAATATTAATAGGAAATAGTAAGAGTAGGGACAGATTTTATTTTGGACTCCACAGAGTATTTCTATAGATGAAATTTTGGTTTTCTGCCCTGGATTCAAGGAAATTTCCTATAAAATGGCTCACTTTGAAAGATTTCTCTTAATTCAACAAAGATTAGAACCAAAACTAAAATCTGATGTTTTGAAATGGGCTTTAGGACATGTCTTAGATTTCCTGAAGTAGTACACAAATTGAATTAATGTGCTGAAACTTTTATCAGACAAATGGAGTACAAGACCTCTGAGACACCTAAAATGTATGAATACCACAGAACGGTATGAAGAGTGTCATTGGAACTCCTGGATTAGAAAAATCTTTGGCTGAAGAGACAACCATCTTTAAGCACCTCCACCTACAACATCCAATAATCCTCAGCAGGGAACAGGTGCAGGTTAGAAGCCCGTTTAATCCTACTGTATCCCAATTGCAAAGAGAAGAATAAATTCAAACAGATACGTATAAGTCATTGATTGTGAGCACACTTTTCAACACTAGGAAAGCAGTCACAAACATAACTGATCAAGGTCATATCTAGTTTACATACTATGCAATGTGGCCTTTTCTCCTTTAGCTGTTTACACAGTTGAGGTCTATGTACATCACAATCTGGGGAGTGAGATTAGCAACTCATCCAATTTGTCCAAGACTTTCCCACATTTAGCTCTGAAAACCTTGTATCCCAGGAATCCTTCTACCACAGCCACACTAGGGCAGTGTCACTCTATCAGAACACCAGAGGACCTTCCACGAGAATCACTCCAATTTGTATCTGTTTTGTGATAGATTGTGCATTGCTTTTCACTTGAGATATGAACTCAAGTTATTTTCTTTTTAAGTCTTGAAATCACTGGTTTGAATACTTGACTCCTTTAACTCACTGGAACAATTTGATAAGGAATCATGTAAGTCAGCTTCAAATCTACATAGAAATGCACTATTCATTTAATAAACAAATGACGTTCCCTCAAACCTGTAGTCATAGACAGAAATATGTTAGCCAGCACCTAGGAATATTGTGAATGCTGCATTCTGCCATGATGATGGGTATAATGTAAGGAGGGAAATGGTGCTTTATGGCCTTGCAAAAGCAGATATGATGACTTAACAACTGGTGGAGTCCTCACTTAGTACTTTTATTTTCATTTGAAATAAGTGAAAGGATGAAAAATCAAAGCAGTAAAAACTGTTACCCAGTACAGTTTCCAAACTCAAACTTTTTTGGACAGGTTTGCAGAACAGTTGTGTTTTTTTACTGAAAAGTGAAAGAATCAATCACCATTTAAAATCATATCACAGACTTTGCAAAGAGTATTTTCAAACAATTGTCTAGTAAGCAAAAATTTAACCATCTGAGCTACTGCTCTCCACATATATAAAAAATAAACCAGTTTTTTCTTTTCTTTTTTAAGATACAGAATAGTTCTCTTCAAACAATTTATCAATACAGAGACTCTACTAGTAGAGCAACCAATTTATTAAGTGCAATGGTGTGAACCTTGAATGCACCCAAAGGACCATGTGTTGAAGGCTTGGTCCCCATCCTGCCACACTACTCAGAGGCAGAGGCACCTTCAGGAGAGGGTGCCTTCTGGAAAGTCACGGGAGCCAAATCTTGAAGGAGATACTGGGACCCTGCCCCTTTCCTGTCTCTCTTTTGGCTTCCCTCCCCATTATAACCTCCCACCATGCTATTCCGTGATGCCACAGCTCCCCAGGAACAGGGATGAGTAATCATAGACTGAAATCTCTGACACCACAAACAAAAGTGAGCTTCTCATTTTATGAGTGGACTGGTCAGGGATTTTGTCATAGTAACAGCAAGCTGACTTAACACATTAAAGTCTACCTTCATGTATGCAGGACAAAAGAAAAAAGAGCGTGCATAAACATACCTTTGGTCCTCGAATAGAAAGTCCAGGTTCTCCTTTAAATCCAGGGATCCCAGGTCCTCCTCTGTCTCCCTGTACATTTCAAATAACATTCACAGGCTCTAGGTTTCATGAGAAATAATAGAAGTGCATGGCAAAAAGGGGATAGGTAAAGAGCTCGATGTAAATTCTCAGGCCTTGAGAGAGTATATCTTTTCAACAAATTTGAGAGGAATTCCAAATCCTGAGTAAATAAAATCTGTCAGTGAAGACTACTACAGCCAAGTGGAGAAAACCTAGTGAAATAATATGTAGCAATTCCAAGTCAAATGCATAGACTGTAAGAATGCCTGGCGGTGCTCTTAAAACTGAGTGCTTTCTTCCTACCACACTTTCCCATGGTACATCCTACTTCATTCTTCTGAATAAATGTAATAAAGTTCTTGCCTGCGGTAGGGTTTACGATTTGGGAGAGGTATCCCAGTGTGAAGTGACAAGACGAGGGTCAGGAGCGGGAAACCTGGCTTCTAGTACAACTTTACTGCAGCGCTTATCCCCTGAGCTGTGAAATATCAGGGCTAAATGAGATCATTTCCTAGGTTTTTCCAAAAGTACAAGAGAATTCCCCAAAACATATACCTTCGGCCCAGGTGGTCCGGGAATTGCTGCTCCGGGCATCCCAAAGGGGCCCATAATGCCCGGCTCTCCCTTGGAAAGAGCAAAACACTCATTACATTTCAAGCAGAAAAACCACAGGTGACACTGTATTAGGAAAAGAATAGAAATGTCTGCTGATTTTATAATATTAGAAACTCAGTCTCTTTTAAAGACCAATTTGAAAATAATGTGAGCATCTTCTGTAAACCACTGCCAAAGTTATTAACCCATAAGATTTCAGTGCCTTTAAATAACTATATTTGACTTATTCCTGAATGTGGGGGAATTTTTATCTCTTGTGCATCCTTTTATTAACTAACAAAATAATGTGCTCTGGGGCTGTGGATATGGCAGAGTACTTGCCTAGGAATCAAGAGGCTCTGGGTTCAATACCCCACACACGCACAGACACAGAAAAGGTGTATCACATGATGCTTCTTTTTATAGTACATGCCAGGAAGCTCAGAGAAAAATATGCTGCTCAATTATGCTTCAGCATAAGTTTTAGGGTACATTTCTATTTTCTAAGTCTTTCCCTTTGTTGCTTGAAGGACCCATGCATCATGCCATATCTATTTGTATTACAGTTTATCTCACTTTCTTTTTAGAAGTAGAGTTTATAATTTAAAAAAGAAGTTTCAAATGGAAAAATTAAACTATTTCACCCTCTCCTTCTCTACTGTACCTACCTTTTCCTCCCTCCCTTCCACTTTGTACCTAAGATTCAGTCTCCACGGCCCACTCTGGAGCAAGGACAACTTCCCTGTCCCATCTGAATCTGGACAGTGACCCTGAGATTTTAGCAATTACAGGAACTATCAAAGCATTTGATAGATACACAAAGGCTACAAGCCATATAGATTTCATTCAGTCATCTAAAGGCTGAGCCCAGGAATGTGCATTTCATGAAGCATGTGGTGATTTTGATACAAGTCCCATTACCATGCTTTGGAAGATATCATTCCAAAGCAATTGTCATCTTACACTGCGAGCTGCTCAAAATGACCCATTGGGACATAAGAAAAAAATAGTAGGATCTCTCTATGTAATATTTATCTTATCTTTTAAATTTCCCATAATTAATATGAATTTCATGACATAGTAATATGACATTTTGTGAATAAAAATTATAATTTAAAAATAAATTTACATTGGAATGTGATCAAATTTATAGGCATGTCTCCATCAAAGCAAGCAAGCACTTTGAAGACAACAATATGCAATATATTAACCATTGTTAATCTCCTATTACATTGTTTTGAAATTCTGTATCATGGTTTGTATTATTTTTTTCTCTTTAAACTAAAAAACACCAGAGATATAGCTCAGCGGCACGGTGCCTGCCTGGCCAGCATAAGATCCTGTTTGATTCCCAGTACAAAACAAAGTAAGTATATATATAGTTGGAAATGAAAGATAATAATTGTTCATAATAATTGTTCACTAAAAAGTAAGACTTAAAAGGAGAAAAGAAAGCTGGGAAATAGAACTTTCCAGTAGGTATAGACAGACCAAATGAGGTTGCTCCTGGGTTTTGAATACTCTTAGATATGAATGGGTCCCATTCTCAAATGATTTTAATATAAGTATTTATACAATAGTGTCAATTTTGTTTCTTGCTCAGTACCATTTTTCTTTTAAATTTTGCTTTGTAATCATCCTTATGCACACTCATGTTTTTTCTTACAGTTGACTTCTTTCTAGAGGCATAAACCCTCTTAGATCGGCAGTTTCGGTTTCCTGAAAAACCCAGTGACCTTGATGTTCTCACCTAAGGACACACAACCTTGCTCGCCTATTTTAATCTCTTTCGCTTCTTCTTTGGCTCTCTGGCTTGGATAGTTTATCAAAACCATATTTTCCATTTCACAGCTGATTTTCCCTCTGAATAACTTCATCTGTTGAATACTTATGAGACGCCGGGGACCTTGCAAAGTTCTTTATTAACTCCTTATCTCCACGACCTTGTGAAATAGATCATTTATTTTTTATCGTCTTTCTATATTTGCATCAGTGGGCTCTGAAAGGCTGGGAGCAGAACTAGGTGAGGAGGGTACACCAAGCCTACTGCACCCTCATTGTACAGCCTCTTAGGCTTGGACATCTGTCACTGTGCAGCAAAATGATGTGATGAAGAAATGATGCGTGCTATGGTTCCAACTTTCTCCCAAATTCTGGATATTTAGCCATTAAGGCTGACTGACATACAGGCTCCATTTCAGAAGCATAAACAGTCCTATAAAGATTGTGGACTTTGTACAGTCACCTCATTCCATTCTACTATGGTCTGGGGATAAAAGAGTTCCTAAAGTATTGTTTTTATTTGAGGGGGTTTTGTTTTGTATTTGTTGGGAAGGAAACAAGTAATTAAATTTGCTGTGGAAATATAATATTTCATTAAAACCAGACCTAATTTATAATTTCCCCAAGGCATAAATGAGAATATAAGAAACATACCTTGGGCCCTTCAGGCCCTGGAAATCCTCTCTGTCCTTGATTTCCTTTGCTTCCTTTCTTTCCTTCATCACCCTGACAAAATAATTATAAAAATATAAATTTTGGGTTCCCAACCTTTCCCTAACATAATAATCACTGCACCAAAGCCAGATTTTAAAATTACATGCCTGAGTACAGTTATGTAGGTTTATCAATATTCTTCAAAATCCTGGATGACTTTAAAATTGTTTGGGGTTAATCATTTATTCAACATGATTTAATTTTTAATCTAAATTTTGGATCTCTCATTGAGATTGTACTTGAATTTACAGTTCTTTTATATCCTTAGTCTATTAACAGATGATTCTAAGACATCCACAATTTCAGAAAAGAGATCTGTCTAGGGTTTTCATTCTGTTTTCATTTTTCACGCTATTTCAGTTTTAAAACATAAAAAAAAGATGTTTTCTAAATCAGCCATTTCTTTCTCAGTGGGAAGTTTAGTTCATTCTCTCAAAGGATACCAATAATGTTGGTAGGAAGGAACCAAGAGGAACTGAGAGCAGGCCAAGAACTGCCTCCTGTTCCCTGGGGAGGGCATCACCTGCAGTGCTCCCCAAAAAGGTTCTGTGACCTCCAACCAGAAGCCCCACAGCATCACTACACTGCCTTCCAACTAGGGCTCCACTGCAAGGTACCATATCTAAGAGCGGACTCAGCTCAACAAAGGAATCATGTGTCGAGGTTTACAGCGGAGGTCCATTAAGCATTCACAATACAAATGATTAAACCGTAGTTTTCAAGTTCAAGCTTCAGAATCACCTGAAGACTTGTTAGAAGATAAATTTGTAGCCTTTCCTCCCAGACTTTCTGACTCAGAAGCCCCTTCCCCAGCCCAATAAAGTGCAGGTGTAACATTTCCAGGTCATGCTGGTGCCCAGGCCAGTCCAGGGACCACACCTGGATGACCAGGGTACCACACTGATGTCATCAGCAAAACAGATGCTTCAGGATCAAGAGGTGGACTCCTGTAGAATCCACAGAGATGTAATTAACATTGACATTACATTACATGGGAGTCTGCTCTAAGAGAGACCAAGAACATTGGTAATGGAATAGCTGAGTATCTGAGTATCACTTATATCATTATTGTCTGCAGAAACAAAGCACAGCCACAAGTATTTATTTTTCGCCATTCAACTTATTGACCAAAATCACCCTGGAAGACAATAGGAAAACAGCTAACACAGCACTGACTCAGCATCGAGGCCTGCCTCAAATGGGTGACATGTTCCTATCACTCTTCTCAAGTAGCCTCCCCTAAGCCATAAACTACTGCAAAGGTGCAAATCTATTAGCCTCTTTTTAATTGGTGCAAACTCTCTTTATTTATTGGTAGCATCTACTGTTGCCCTGTGATTCCATCTTGAACTGTTTCTCCCTGGTTTTTCCTCACACACTACCATATTACTGTGCTATTCTGGGTGTTCTTTCTCCATCCACCTCCCAACCTGGGACCCAAACTTTGGCTCCTTCTCAAAGATACAGTTCACTCTCACAGCTTCAGACTGTGAACTCTAAGATTTTATTTCCCAAAATATATTCTAGAAATCATTAGTTCTCCTGAGTGTTAAGAGTTCAGTATTCCTAAAAATACATCACGAGGTTTTTTTTTTAAAAAAATGTTTCTTTTCTCCCCCATTTCCTGTAACAAAAAGGATCCTACAATGAATTAAATTAATAAAATGTTTAAAATTCTATGTATATAATTAAATTTCAGTATCTCAGATTTAAAATCTAGGGCTTGATTTCAGTTAACATTTTTATACAACATAGGATTAAGTTAATTATTATTTAATAGAATTATAAATAGAACACCAGTAAGCATCAGATTTTATTTTTTTCTTTACTCATTTAATTCATTCAAACCATTCTATGGCATTGGCAATGGTATTTAAAAATTATAGAAACTTTGGAAGGTTTGGTTATGTCATTATTCATCCTATTCTTATTTAGACAATAAAGATTTTTTTGTTTTATCAGTACCAGGGATAGAACTCACGACCGCCTGCTTGCAAGGCAGGTCCTTATGCTGCTGAGCTAAATCTCCAGCCCCTAAAGATGTTATTTAACTAGTATTTCTATAAGGCATAAAATAAATTTATGCCAGTCATTAACTGAAATTGCATTTTACTTTATTTTATTATATTTTTGGTACTAAGGACTGAACTCAGGAACTTGCGCATGCTAAGTACATGTTCTATCATTAAACTACATGTCCAGCCCCCAAAATTGCCGGTAGTATTTCGTATTGTCTGAGACTTTATGAATATTTGAAGAAAATTTATGGACATTCAAGTTTCAGCGATGTGTCTTGGGGCTTTTTCTTCCTATGGATTTTTTAAATTTTAGTCTTTCCATTTATTGAGAAAACATGTGTTGAACTCTTCTTTGTCCTGGGTCTTATGATAGATGTTGGGAAAATAAAAATGAATAATCCATACTTGATGTCTTCCAAAGGCTCACATGACAGCATCCACAGTTTTAAGCCAGATGTAAACACAGTTGACATAGCAAGGATATCAATCAGTTTTCTCCTAAGTAGGTCTTTAGGATCAGTAACCAACACAGACAGGCTGCAGCCCCCACTTTCTGTCATTGCGTACCTTGGAGCCAGGCTGTCCTCTTCCAGGTGGTCCCTCTGGGCCTCTGGTTCCTGGAAGCCCGGCTTCTCCCTAGAGGAAATGACACTGATGTCCTAGCTGACCTTCCCCAGGCAGGATGCCTGGTCCCTTCGTCCTGCCAGCGGATTCAGTTGAAACCCTCCAAATAGACCAGATCTTCACTCTAGTCTCAGAATTAATCTGGAAACTCATCAACGAATAAATTAACATTAAACTCCAGTTTAACTAGAACAGCTGAAATATCATGAGAAAGTCCAATTTCTCAGCCAATTTCCAAAGCAATAAGCTCACTTTCTTTGGCTCTTTATTCACATTTGGCAGTTTTTTTTTTTTTAAACAAGAATGACCTTCAGCCTTTCCATCTGCTGTTTTTCAGCGTATTGAAAAATGAGTATGTCAAACGTTGCCTCAGAATAATTCAGGAAATCTTTACAGTGGCCTTACTTCCTGAATGCATTTGCAGACTCTCATTTGGGAAACGGGTTTGAAGAAGGTGGCTTTTTTCCTTTTTTTCTTTTCTTTAAATTTATTTATTTATTTAAAAGAGGGAAAAACAGAAAAATCAAAAGCAAACTAATGTGCTTTCTAGAATTCCTGAAGCTACCATGGCCAGATTACCAGAGGGAATGAGACGCTAGAGTTCTTGAATGGGTGATCTATTTAGGATCTTTCTATATGGGATGAGTGAAAAGGGAAATTTAAAATTGTGGAAACTGTTTTTCTTAAAGGGGCTCTTTGTCCTGGACTTAACTGGAGTTCATTTAGGACCAAGCTGTCAGTCTGATCCAATAGTTTGGATTGGAATAACATGAAAGTTAGTGCCCAGGTACCTTCTTCCCTGCCGCTCCATCTTCTCCGGGTACGCCTGGTTGTCCTGGGAGCCCTATGGAGCCTGGCTCCCCCTGGTGGACAAACAAAGATTTTATTTTCCTGAAGTTCATACCATGCAACTCCGCTGTAAGGAATGTATCTTGTTTGATCAACGCCTCTGGCATGAGAAATCTGATTGGCAATTAATATTAATGAAATGAATGGACCTTGAGCAAATTACGTAACTTCTATGAGCTTCGGATTTGCATTATTCTGCCATAGATTGACGTGATCCCCAAAAATGAACTAAGAAAGGGTCATTGAAGATATGAGCAAGTTAAAATGAGGTCATCAGAAGGAGCCCTAATTCAGTGAGCCCGATATGATGACACCAGAGAAAGACTCCACGCTAAGACAAGCACAGGAGAAACACACAGGAGCAAAGAGGAAGGCGAGCAGCCGAGGGCTGAGGACCATGTGAGAAGGTGAAAGGAGACTGGAGGGTCTGGAGGTGGCAGGCCCCGTGTGAATTTAACCTCCAGGAGAATGAGACGTCCGTTTCTCTTTCTTTAAGCTACTCAGCTTGTTCTTCGTTAAATCAGCTCTGGGAAATAACATGAGTGAAACGAAAACTAGCGGCCTTGATGCCATTTCCAGTCCTAATATTCAGTAATTCTTCTTGCTTGAAAATTAATTGGAGATTAAAAATAAGTCCCTTAATATACTCAGAAAGAATACTACTTTCGGGGAGTATGTAAGTGTTATCTCTGTATATATTAAGAGCACAGAATATTGAATGAATTAAAAGTCATTTCAACTAAACTAAAAAAGTTAATGGAGGAAAAAAGCACAGCAAACCTAAAAAATAGAATCTAAGGATAAAAATGAAAGAAGAAAAAATAAAACTAAAAAAATTTCATAAAACAAAAAGTAATGTTTTTTAAAACCTAATGTTAATAAACCTTGTAGCAATGATTAATATTTTTTGATATCAGATATCAAACTCACAACCTTACACTTGCCAAGCAGTTGCTTATGCCACTGAGCTAAATCCCAGGCCCTGAATAATATTTTAAAAGCAAAGATACTCTAGGAAAGTTGTCATAACTATTTATACATAGTAAAATTTTTAAAGACCATAGAAAATTTCTGTAACTATTTCAAGTAAATTGAAAAACATTAATAAATCTATAATCTTCAAAAACATAAACTATTCAAATAACATAAGAAATGAGCAAGCTGAATAAGCCAATATAATTAATAAATTCAAACTGTGATTTCAAGTATGTTCCTCTCCTTCCAAGAAAATGGCTTACGTTGGTTTTACAGTCAAGTGTTATCAGCTTTTAAACCTCTGAAGAATATTCACAAAAAAAACAAATCCAGAGGGTTGGGGATTTAGCTCAGCAGCATAAGTGCCTGCCTGGCAAGCACAAGATCATGAGTTCAATCTCTAGTACGAAAAAAAAAAAAAAAGAAAGAAAATAATATTCACTATTTTATGCAAAGATTTTTGAAAAATCAAAGAGCATAAATCTATGCAACTTGCTATGACCCAACCATTTCATTCTTATGTGCTTACCCAAGAAAAGTGAAAACACACGTCCATAAAAAAATAAATAAATATTCAAAATAACTCTGTTTGTCATCTGCAAATCTTGGAAACAACCAACAGTCTACCAACAGGCAAATGGATAAGTAAATTACAGATTGCACGCAATGGAATACTTACTGTTCAGGAACATAAAGATGCAAACTATTCATACACACTACCAAGCCTACTTCAGTTATTTTGCTGAGTCAAAACAAGCCAGAAAAACATACAAACCATACGACTGCACTTACATGCAATTCTAGAAATAGCAAGACTAGATATAAAAGTCAACATAACAAACTAAAGACAAATAAAAATACTTTTTATAGCCCTATAATAGCTAATTTAAAGATATAAAAAAAATAGAAAAATTCACATTGAGACATTTTCTCCAGAATACTTGAGAATAATTTTAGCAAAAGAGATAGAGTACAAAATCTTTATGGAGTAAAAATCATTCATTTTCCTAAAAAATTAGAGATTTTTACTCTGGAGTTGGAAAGACTAAATATTTGTTCTGAGTAGATCAAGGTAATCCCAAAGGATAACTTGTCAAATTTGACAATCCAATCCTAAAACGTACATGTTAGGATCAATAATAACCAGGAAAGAAGACGATGAGGGTATTTCCCCTCCAATGACAAAACTTACTTTAAGCCTATCATAATCAAGGTAGAGAGGCAACAGCACTTAGAGATATAAATAGACAAAAGGAGCAAAGCAGAGCTCAAGCTCTGATTCTTACAATTACAGAAAACTGATGTAGATCTTAGGTCTAATGCTGCAAATCAGTGCAGCAGAAAGGGATGACATGATGGTCAGACTCCTGATTATAAAGACAGGAACAATTCTTACATTGACCCATGCATGAAATTAACTCCACGTGCATTTTGTTTAAAAAGCTAAATTTAAAAAGCAAAGATGGAAATTTTCAGGAAGTTGTATGAGAATATTTTTATGACTTTCAGGTCAAAAAATATATTTAAGTAATATTTTTAAATCATATAAGTAATATTTTTAAATCAAATAAGTATAAGTTGTGGCCTAAGAAAAAATATTTTTGACCTATACAACAAAGAATTAACAATTAGAAATCTAGAAAATTCTAATGAACAAGAAAATAACATGACCTCAAAAAATAAATAAATCAATATCCATAGGAATTTATACAAAGAAAAAGCTGAGGCACATTAGTCATGTGAAAAGCTGTTCATTTAATTATCAGGGAATTAAAATTGAAACAACAAGAAGCGCTTTCACACCTTTCTTATTTGGGGGGATGTAGAGAAAGGACACCATCGCCTATTGCTGGCAAAAAGGACAAAGTGGCATAGCTGTGTTGGAGAGGATTTTTGCAGCATGGAAAGTGAAGACTTTTGTATTCTATGATCTCCTAGTTCTGTTTCTACTAATCAGACAGGAGTGCCTGACTCACTGACTCAAAGGAAAAGCAGGATACTTCTGTCATCACTGTTGGAAAAAGTAAAAACTGAGAAGCGATTTCTGTATCCATCAATGGGAAAATGGATAAATGTAAAATGTTCTATTATCATACAATGCAATACTACAGAGCAATTAAAATGAATGAATGAGAGGCCTATAAACAAAACATAAGGCTAAGTATAAATATATTGCAGAATGATACACTGGGTATAATTTATGAACACGAAAAAGCAATACACAGTTTCTATGCAAAAACATGTGGGAAATTACAAACATTTTGAATGAATGATAAAGTCATGAAAATGACTGTGTCTGGGGAGGGAAGGGACAGCAATGTGAGCAGGGGCCTCCTTCTCCTCCTCCTCTTCCTCTTTCTCTTCTTCCTTCTCCTCCTTCTCTACTTCCTGCTCTTCCTCCTCAGAGCTAAATCTAAAATTCTTATTTCAAAAGTCTGACTCAATGTGCCAAAAGTGGGATGTGGAATACATGGTATTCTTTGTGTTTTTATCTATACTGGTGAGTATATTTGAAATATTTTATTTTTAAAGTAAAAGAATCTTAAGTTTGCACATCTAATAAGTGGCAAAACAGGGATTTGAATTCTATAAGTGAGTCTGAGCCTCACTGTATTGTATGCTACCTTCCTGAAGCTAATATGTGACATATGTGTGCTACATATGCACATATGTATGTACCACACACACCTATCTCATACTAAGCATTTGGTATGTCATGTACCAAATCACACATCAAAACATGCAAAAATAGTATCTATTATTCTCGGGGTCCTGGCCGAGATCCTCAATCTCCCAAAAAAGTGTATGGTGAAGGCTTAAAATAAATGAGATAAGTGATCTGATTTTAAGGCTCTAGGAGGATCAAAACCCTCTGCAGTTTTGACTCTAGTGGCTAAGACAAGGAATGGCTCTGGGTGGCCCGTATTTATTTAGTATTTAAGGAAGGGGTCAGAGTGAAAACTGCAGGAAACTGAACAGATCTTGGGAGTGGTTCAAGGACTTTGTCAAGTAACAAATTATGTATAATTTAGGATAACTATCTTATGAGGAGATCTCCATGTTGCATTTCAGTACAGGAGTGAAATGCCTACAGCTACAGTCTTTATTTAGTTAACTGGAATTGGGGCCAGTTGTCCTCAGCTGTGACCTTATCTTGTCCTTTGAGGCATCTCTTTGTTTTCTGGTCAGCAGGGTCATGCTGCAGCTCTGCATGTGTGTTCAATTTCCAGTTTCAGTGGCTCTCAACATATTATTACTATGTTAACACATTTTTATCCTTTGTAATTTTATAACTATGTTAGATGTGTATTCTTAGACCTACATCTTACATTTTCTTTCATTGCCCAATAGTGACAAGGACAACAGAACAATGGTAAAAGTCAGCACTCAGTGTGGCTTGTCAGAGCCCATGTACCTACAGGAGTTATAGTGAAGGGCAGGATTCATTTGCTTCATAAGCAGTGTGTGTGGAGTACCCATCTTGTCCTCGCAAATGAGCATTCAGTAATAAACAAGATAAAGTTTCTGTTCCAGAGAAACATATTTTACAGCCTCACTATCCAACAGAAATATCAAGCAAGACATGAAAAAACAATTAAAAATTTTAGTAGCCACATTTAAAAGTCAAGATGAACAAGTTGTATGTAATTGGATGACACATGCATAATGTGTATTGTATTTGGGTATAAGAGAAATGTCACATAACATTCTGTAAATTGCCTGATCACAGATAAGCAGCATGATCAAACTCACCTTTGGACCCTGTATTCCAATTCCCACTGGCCCTCTAGGGCCCGTAGGTCCCATCTGCCCCACTTCTCCCTAATAAGAAAAGAGTATTTGAGTGAAGACACCGAGAAAAGTTAAGCAGTTACATTCCAGAACAACTGAAATGGGCACACGAGAAGCCAAGGTGACGAGTGATCAAAGACAACATCATAACCCCAAAGAGCGACCTGAGCTTTCAGTGATGGGCCCCAAACGAAAGCCTCAAGGCTGAGTGGACATCTATGAGCTGCTCTCATTTGGGCAAAAATAAGCAGTCTATTCTGAGGTGAGGCATCTAGGAGAAGCACTCTACTTGATGATTAGTGGCTCCTTCAAGCTAGATTAAAGGTAGCTACTTAAATAATACATATTAGACTTTCTTAAAGATACAACTAACAGTTCTAGTTAAAGGATAATTTAAATCCAAAGTTCATAGGGAAAAAAATCTATACTGGATCATTTCTAATTGCCTCTCTTTAACTAAGGTTCTATTAAGAACTCACTAAGGGCCAGTGGGAATGCAAATTAGCCAACCTGGAGAACCACAGGCAGCTGCTAATAGTTGTCTGAGTTGCTAGAATAGGTCTCAGAAACAAAAATAATAAAGGAACTAATTAAATTAAAGTTGTGTAAGCAAAATCTTCTTAAAGCATAAAATAGTACATTTTCTAAATGATTAGGAATATCAGTGGCATTGGCATGAAGCAGAGACCTCTGATTCTTAACTTCATTCTACCTATTGTCTTCCAAATGCACAGACACAGACAAAGGAAAGCAAAGGCACTGTTGACAAACTCCGCTGTCATTTAGATAGTTACCTTGGGACCAGGTAAACCTTGTCCTGGAGGCCCTTGTGGACCAGGTGGACCAACAGGACCTTGGATTCCCTTTAAAACAAAATTTTGCAAAACTGTTATTAGTTAAGTTAAGGAAACATTTGGTTAACAATAGTTTCATGTCTTCTAAAGTGAAAGTTCAGTTCACACCCCATCATAGGTCATTCATACTACATAAATGTCTTTTAAACGAAACGGCCCTAATATGCCTTCTCCACAGTAGGAGAATTTTTGCTGGCCCACGTGGATGCTCAGGAGAAAGACTGTTTCCCAGCTCCTAGTGCAGCCAGGTGTGGCCGTGTAGATTACACTTCCGACAATGGGATATGAACAGAAGGATGTGTGCAGTTTCAGGTTCATGCTAAAAGAAGAGGCACTCACTATGTCCTAGCTAGGCTGACTGAGACGCGCTCAGCTGTGAAGTTGAAAGTTTGATGTGGACTCTAACAAGCCACAGCCAGCAGATGCCAACCAGTGAATATGCAAACACTTGGCTCCCTCCCTCACATTGCAGATGTGAAAGGCAAAGAGACAGGATTTGTAAAGCCCTTCTCTGGATAAAGTGATCTGGATTATAGAGGAGTTTTCTTAGTAGAAAATGGAGAGTTTGAATTCCTTTTCACCTTGCTACAGCCTAGACAAAGGACTTACCCCTTTGGTTTTCATTCTGGGAACACACAGGTCTGATTCATGACTGAGAAAGTTTAACTGGATCGAGAATCTATCAAGACAAGAGTCACAGGACATTGTCCTATAGAAAAGTGGCCCACTACGTATGAGACCAAGTTGGCCTCAAACTGTTTTTGAATCTTGCTCCAGATCCCTGGACGTGTAATATCCCCAACTGAAACAAAGTCAGCCCCGAAAAAGCAGAAGCTGGAGGAAGGGAGGCCTCTATTCACACCCCAGGAAAGCTGTCAAGGGAGTTCCGTAAAGAAGAGATCAACTTCCCACATCTGCGGGCCCTGAACACCCAAAGCTCCTGACCATGGCACTGACAGAGAAAGGACCTCCCTCCCTGCTCCCTAGCCTGGGGCGTGGGTGAGAAAGAGGCTCTCCCTGCAGCTTGTACCAGACAATGAAGATTAAAGGAAAGATTGATAGATGGACTACACACTTTTTGTTACAGAATTTAAGATTTGCAGTTTACAGCAACTCATCAACTTTTTCTTGGCAGGCAAAGAGGAAACATTTCCACTGAAAATAGATAGTTAAAAGAGTGACAACAGAAAAACCTAAAATTCTGGTCTTTTTACCTCCTATAAACTATAATTATACAAACATATTTAGAGATACATTGTTATTTTACACCTTCAGTGTATTACTACATAACAAATACCATCCCTTTTTGTCAGTTGGATGGTACCGCTCTATTAAATTTTAAAATACACATATTATTATCTTTTTCTCTGGTTAATGAAAGTGAATGGACAAAACCATTTAGGAAAGTACACTATAAATATTGTGCATTATTTATATAATGCATATTGTTGCACTATAATTATTGAACAGATGCAGGAAGGAACACTCTGACTTTTATAATAGTCTGTAGCTAGCATACAATGTGACGGGAAGAATTTCACAGGATGGGGACATCTGTGTGCATATGTTCAGGTGTGGTCACTGATGGCCCACTTTATAAAACATCTGAGGTGATCAACCTCCAAGTATTAAATGAAAATCTGCAGGCTGCTAGAAAGATTTTGTAAACATGCTGCTGGAAATGGCAGTTCCCTGATAAGCAGATGAGTGGGAAACTTCTGTGAGAGAAATAGAAATAGCAAACACAAAAATTAACTAGATGAACATTTTAAATTAAGGATGTGAATAAAACTGAATGTATAAACATAGTTAAGTAGATTTTCTATCAATTGTACTAAAAGAATAGATAACTTCTTTTCTTGTGCAGAGCCATTTACAAAGAATATATTCCATTCACCCTTCTATCCAATAAGGGGAAGTTCTCTAGGCCACCTTTGCCTCAAATTTTTTTCTCTTGTGAAAGAAAAAAGGGGAATAAGAAAATGAAAAAAAGGCAAAGGTCAAACAGCGTTTTTTAAAAAACAGGATTTTTTTAGTTTGGTTTGGGTTGAGTTGGGTTGGGTTGGGTTGGGTTGGGTTGGGTTTGAGGGATTTTTGCTTTGTTTTGGTTTGGGTTTTGTTTGTTTTCTCTGTTTTTGTTTTTGTTTTGTTTTGTTTTGAACCACAGAACAACAACCTCCATCAAGGACCAGCATTATAGGCAGGAAGTTACAAGAGTGAGGTCCAGAATCCAGAGGCCATTTCCTCTCAGCCTTGTTCTCAGCCCCACATCAGCACAAGGAACTGCAAGACTCAGCATGCAGCAATACTGTCCAGCGCTTCCAGGACCAGAATACAACCCCTGCTAAACCCAGTAATACACTAAAGAACTTTAGAATTCTGGTAGTAGTGAAACCAGTGTCCTTGCAAAGTTAAAATATTCAGTTCTTAAATATTAGCTAAACATTTACTTTCAGGTTTTTATTGGCTTCTTCTGCACTTTAATCCTCCAAACATATTTTTCTAAGAATTTTGCCAAGAGCTAGGAAATGGGAAAAGAAGTAATATCCAACTTTCCTGTGACTTGGGCTAACTAAAATATGTAGCAAATAATAATAACAATGAATTAGCACATAGTTAGAAATAAACTCAAAGCTGAATGCCAACAATGAGATTTGGAATTATGCCATTTTCTGAATTCTTTTTCTCATTATCCTACATAAAGGAAGAACTATTCATTTTCTGGACAACATAATTCCAAACTTAATCATAAATTTTAATCAAATTGGCTTGCCATTTTTGAACCAAGAGAATAAATCTGCATTTCTTCATGTTTTTTACTAAATGAGACTGTGTAAATGAAAGTATATAGAAACAATATAGTATATAGTGCTATTATACTACCTTTGCATTATTTAGATTTAACATATTAGATTTAGATTTTTCCAACCTTTCCAAAAGTTATTAGAAGCAGTTTCAGCCATGAATTGAGAAACATTCCAAAAGATCTTTCTTTTCTTTTGACCAAGAGAGGCCAGGTATCATTTATAAACACTATCTATAATTTGTTTCTATTTAGGAAAGATATCCCTATAGTAACTGTTTACACCCGATTCTGATTCTTGTTTTTAAGTTTAAGACTATTTTTACACTGATATGTGGCTAGGAGATAAGAAACACTACTTCACTGGCATTGAAAAAAAATGACTTTATCATTCACAAAGCTTCAAGAGAAAAACACAAATCAACAGGTAAATAAGCTACCATCTTCTTTCAGGAAGAATCTATAGTATAAATATTACCCCAGAACTCTTACCTTGTCAATTAGGTTTTAATGTTAACAGTCACAGCACCAAAAAACACACAATTTATTTTTAATATCTTTAAAAATTCTAAAAGTAAAATCTCATAAAACTTCCTTATACTTCCCCTTTTCACTTTTGGTCTGATACTCCATTGCAATTTGACTATCAAATATACTCATAAATATCTGCATTGCTAACCTTCAATGAACACCAAATGGGGAATAGAATGCTCTATATCAAAGGAAAGGAAGAAACCATAAATTACCTGTTCTCCTTGACTACCAACACCTGGGATGCCTGTTGGTCCTTGGGGTCCCACAGGTCCCAAATCCCCCTGCAGAGAAAATATCAGAAATTTATCAATAAACAGAACTTTCTTTCATGCTTCACTACTCTGGAACTAGACTAGATTTAAATCTATCTTTACACTACAAAATTGACCAACATGGAAAAATCATAAATCATTCCTTTTGAGCAGCTTATAGTTCAAATTTGCCCAAACAGTAGTGACATTTTCACTAAATAGCACAAAATGATTAGTATTTGCACCAGTTTATATTTAGCAACCATTTTTCCCACAACTCAAAATTTTTGACTAGTTATTGTAAATACTTCCTGTTGACTAATAACAGAAATATTTAAAATCTAGAAGTCACAGAGTAAAAGAGAATTAGAATTTGAGAGAAAATGAAGAAAGCTATTTTAATATTTTCTAAATAATTCTTCTTTCCAAATCTTATATTTTGGAAATTAAGAAATGATCTAAGAGAAGGTAACAAAATTAAAGAGCCTCACCGTCTTTTCCATGAAATAGATTGAGGAAATCAAGTGAGAACTCTCAGTGAGGACAATGTCCCTCATTCACTCTATACCTATTTGTTAAGCGGCCATTTTGTGCCAGGAGCTGTTCCAAACACTGGGAAACAACAATGACTAGCGCGGTCCAAAATGTCCTCCATAGAGCTCACAGTTAGTCTGAGAAACGGAAGGTAAAATGAAAGACACATAGATAAAATAAACAGCATACTGAATAATGGTAGGTACTAAGCAGAAAAATTAATTAGGGAAGTGGGAAGGTAGTGACAATTTCGGATACAGTGGTCAGAATGGACAGAATGAACCAGAAGAAATCTGGAGAAAAGCACTTCAGGCAGAGCAAAATGCCAGTGCAAGGATAACACCTGGCACATTTCAGGAACAGCAGGAAGACCGTGTGGGTGAAGCTGGTGACCACGAGGGAGGGCAGTAGATGATGAAGGCAGAGAAGTACGGCAGTGTGCCAGGCAGGAGGATCAGCGGGACCTGTGAGACAGTGGTAAGGACTTGACTGTCCTATAAGTGAGGTGCAGGATTTCCGCAGAAGCCAGAGTCCCCTGAGTTAGTTTTGAAGGCTCAGCATGGAAGCATATTGAGGAGAGCCTTAAGTAGAGTTTGCCTGAGATATGTGGGGAGCACAGACCCAGGAGTCAGCAGCCCAGCAGGGGAAGAGTATTCGTGTACTGGGTACATTTGGAAGGTGGCACTAGCAGAATATGCTGCAGATACAGAAGACTCCAGGATGTCTCTGAGACTGTTGTCATTCACAGAAAAGGAAAAGCCTGAGGGATGAGGCAGGGCCAGAGGTGAAATCAGGAGCTCTGTTTTAGATGTGTTAAGTCTGAGATGCTTAAGACAGACATCTAAGAGAAGATATTACATGAGTGCAAGAGGTCTGGACTGCAGATACAAATTGGGATCCTGTGGCATAAAAGCAAGATTTAATGCCGTGACTGGGTAACTATACCAAGAGACAGAAAAAAGAAAATCTAAGGACTAAGTTCTTTATAAGCGACAATCATTGGAGGCCAAAGAAATGAGGAAAGAGCAACAGAGGAGACTGGCAGGCAGCAACCAGAGAGAAGGTTTGAAGAAGCAAAGAGAAGGTTTTAAGAAGATTAGGGGTCAATACATAGGTCAAGCAAGTTGACTACTAAGAACTGACTATTCTATTGAGAAACAGGAGTAAGCATGTTTATTTCAATGGCAGTTATCTTTAGACTACATCAAGGTTCACAAATTTTTTCTTGAACTGTTGATTTTTGGCTTAAGGGTCAAAATAAAGTCTCATTTGTTATTGATCAATGGTAAAAGGATGGACAGTTAATGCCTAAATGAACAAGTGTGCCTATGTTCCAATGACATATTATTTTAAAAGACAGGCAAGCAGTTGGGGTTAAATAAATACTTCTATGAACAAAAGCACTAATTTCATATAATATTAAAGTATGTTAAACTTGCACTGAGAGATACCCTGGATTACACTTCCTAGTGTTTTGCTTTGCATCAACACTTGGTCTCAATACATATCAAGGGCCAGGCACAGTGATACACACCTTTAATCCCAGCAATCTGAGAGGCCAAGGCAACATGACTGTGACTTTGACCCGAGCCTGAGCAGTTTAGTGACTTAGCAAGATGTTTCTTAATATAATCTTTTTTAAATAATTTAAAGTGCAGGGCATATAGCTCAGTGCAATGGCCTTGGGTTCAATCTCCAGTACCCATACATAGAGAAATAGGTGATAGATAGATAGATAGATAGATAGATGATAGATAGATAGATGATAGATAGATAGATAGATAGATAGATAGATAGATAGATAGATGAAGTAAGAAAACAGTATGAAGTCAAATTTTTATTCAGAACTGAATTATTTGACTCAGAAATTCACTACACACTATGCAGATTTCACTAGACTAAAACACTTTTCACAGTTTACGTCACTCAGCCTTCCCAGTACCCTCTGCAGAGGCTGTCCCCATTTTTCAGATGACATTAAGTAATCCACTCCATCTAGTTCTTATAACTGTTAGATGACAGAGGTGAGATTCAAGTCCACTGCGTAAATATTTTACAAATAGTCAACAAACATAAGGAAGATATCTTTTTGTGCAGTTATTTGTAATTATCGGTTATATTTTATTGCATGCACAATACATATATATACATATTTATGGGTGTGCTCTTAAAGGTGTTGATCTTATCTAAATCTAAAGGTATATGTAAATGCATAGGAAACATATAGAGAAACAAGAGAGGTGATTTTACTGATTTGCTAAGGAAAGAGTCAATGAAAGCTTTGGTATGTATGATAATGTCCTGATACTGTAATGTGCTTCCTTTGCATCTGCTCCAGATGTAAAAACGCAGATACTACATCACAATGACCCTTGGAAAAGTTAATTTACTGAAGTCATAAAACAGCAATTCTGTTGTATTTGGTTCTCATTGCTTTAAAAGAAGAAAGATCATCTTAACCTATTTTGTAGCTGAAATTGCAAACAAACCGATCCATTTGAACTTAAAATTATATTATGTCTAAAGCTTATATCATTCACTATTCATCATTATCTCTTCTATTTAAATATACACAGTCTTACCTGTATCACTAGTCTCTTGCTCAGTGGCTACTGTGTAAGGTGGGTAAGGCAAGGATAAACTGATTGGGGCTGGCATTTTTGTTCTCCAGTTTTCAAGGCTAATTATTTTCCAGCTATGTCTTATATTTGGGGGAACCTATAATGTATAGATATTTTAAATAAAATGAATCACCAATAAGAAAGAATAAAGATGGGCATATGGCACATGCCTGTAATCCCAGCACTCAAGTGGCTGAGGCAGGAGGACCACTGAGAGTTCAATGCCAGCTTGGGCTACATAGTGAGTTCAAGACCAACCTGACTTACATAGTGAGACGCTGTTTTAAAGAAAACATAAAGACAGCATGAAAGAATAAAGCAACTGTCTGACACCCAGGAGCTGGCCTTACCCTTGATGTGATGCTGAATATAAACAAATTCACACATTGTCAGCATCAAACAAAGTGACTGGCCAAGACAAAAGCAAGGCCACACTGTAATCACATCTGAGAACAGACCAAACACTGTCTAAATTCCCAAAAAGCACCCAATACCTCCTTACATTGGCTGAAATGAATTGCTAATTCTTCTTTAACCAGTTACAATTCAGTCCATTCTTGTAGCTCCTACATGAGTCTGGATCTTAAAATTAAACTTCATAGTGGCATTTAATCCAGACTCCCCCCGCCCTGCATTTCTTGACTACCCCCCGTCCCAACTTCCTAACATAAGCCCAAATCCTAGGGAAATTCCTAGTCCTTTATCTTCATCTGGAGTCACTGTCAGTTTCCCAAAGTTCACAGCTTCCATCATGAACTTTGCCCAACCATAGCTGAACTCCTGTGGGTCCTTGCTGAGGGCATCAACAATAGTTTCCTGACATGAGTTCTTTTACTTTACCCCTATTTGAAAGTAATGTTTTTAAATGAGGATTTGAAGATAGATATGCTGTCTCATAATGAGATCGTCAATAACTCTAATGACTATTTTCTTTCTAAAAAAGAGGTATCTTTCACAAATATCTGCCTTCAAAGTTGTTTGCTGATCATAAAAGTCACTGCTAGTTAGAATACAAATAATAAAGGCATTGTTCTAAATATAAATAATAGGAATTCCAAACTATGATTCATCCCACATAGAAGTATAACTTCCCTATATTAGATTCATAATTACCTGGATACCTGGTTAAATGGTTGTTATATTTTATACAGCTCAAAAATGTACCTACATAAAGACCAATGACAAAATAATTTCACTGGCATTATTTATTTTATAGTTTAGATCTATAATAGTCTCCAAAAGTCTTTACATGATTAAATTGTTAGCACTCTACTATACTCTGTAGTGGATTCATCCACAGAAAAGATTGTGGCTGAATGTGCTGTTGGGAGGAAGGACCTGGCTGGAAGGTGTGGGTCAGTGGGGGATGTGACCTGGGAAAATTCTTGACCCTGGCTCCTCCCTTCTTTCTCTGCTTCCTGGCTATCAAAATGTGAGCAGTTTCACTGCACAAAGCACTTCCACCCATGCTATTTCTGCTTTGGAGCCTGCTAACTATGGACTAAAACCTCTGAAATTGTAAACCAAAATAAACCTCTCCCCTTAAAGTTGCAGGTATGCAGTATTTTAAATTCCAGGTATAAGGTATTTTGAGAAAATTGGCACAGATAGTATATGTACCTGACCATGTAGTTCAGAAGCTTTTAGAACTTGTTTACAGGTTTTTGAAGAAGATTAGAGTGTAAGTTAGAGAAGCCATAGAATGTTGTGAGCAATGTGTCATGAGTGATACTGCTCAGAACTCAGAAGATAAGAATGCTGTTAGGAATGTGGACAGTGATACTCATACTCAAGAGGTTTCAGCTGGGAACAAAAACTCCATAGGTAGATTACAGGCCATGTGTATTACAGTTTGCCAGAAATTTTTCTTCATTTTTCCCTGAGACTTTAGGGTGGCAGACTAATTAATCTAACAGAGGAAATTCAAAGACAGCCAAACACTCAGTCTGTAACATGGCCACAGCTGGCTGTTTTTAGCCAGATCTAAGGAAGAATCAGGAGCAAATGTCAGAGCTGAATGCTTTAAAATATCAAAAATTTTACCAGAAAGGAAACACCAGCAAAGGTGGGACAAAGGAGAATTTGTTGCTGAAAATGTTAACATTAAAAAGGGGCTCAGTACTTTGCATAGGAACAAGAAGAAATATGCCTTGAGAATATCTCAGAAGTCAGCAAGGCCCTATCCATGGCAGGTTTAAAGGTACAAAGTGTAAACATTTTGTTTGAAAAGAGAACTCCAGGGTATGTTGCTCATTCAGGGCCATAGAGCAAAATAAATTCTCAAATTTAGCCAGGCAAGCAGTCAGAGGATGCTACAGCCATGGTTCATGGGGTCTGGCTGCTACTTGAGGTGGCAACAGACCTACGCATCCACATAGTGTTGGTCTATAGGCACGTAAAATGCAAGAGTCATAGGGTCATGGGGGCTTCCACCCAGATTTCAAAGGAAGGCCTGGAAGCCAGGCAGTGCACCCCTGAAAGACTGATGCATAAAGTTGTGAGAGTGATGCCATATGTGCAGTAGAGATTGAGAAAATTGGAGGTGCCAGGAACAAGAATCATCTGCTGAAGAAAGCCAAAGGCAGTCAGCAGAGCCAGTTCAAGAGGCCATGTGGGTTACAACCAGCTATGCTGGTTTGAAATTTACATCTTGCCATAATCTGCTCTGGGTGCTGGAAATGGGGCTACAAGATTTAATGTTTGGCTGGTGAGATTAACTTATGTTGTGGTCCCATTCTTTTCTATCCTCATATTTCCCTTTTTGCAAGGGGAATATTTACCCTGTATCATTGTATGTTGGAGATATAGATATTTTTGATTTTTGATTTCTTTTTTATTTTTATAAAGGTTCTTTTTTCTTTTTGAGTTTTATAACTGTTTACAGCTAAGAGTCTGCCTTGAGTCTCAGAGAGGACTTTGGATTTGGACTTTTTAGCAATGTTAAAACTGTTAAGACTTTGACAGTTCTTAAACATGAACTAAACTTCTTTTGTATAATGAGATAGACATGACCTTTTGAGGACCAAGAGTGGAACATTATAGTTTAAATTTAAAAAGTCTTTCAAAAGCCTCATGTATTTGGAAGTGGATTAAATTATGTGAGTGCTGTACTAATCAAAGGATTCATCCACTGATAAATTCCTGGCTGAATGTGCCCTTAGGAGTAGGACCTGGTTAGAAAAGATGGGTCACTGCGGGTGTGATCTGGAAGGATGTATTCTAATTCCTGGCTCTTCCTTTTTCTGACTGTCATATAAACAACTTTTCTCTGCCCAGACCCTTCTAACATGCTATTTCTGTGTTGGAACCTGCTGACCACAGACCAACACTTCCAAAACCATGCACCACAATAAACTTCTTCTCCTCAGATAATTTCTGCCAAAAATAAGAAAGTGACTAATACAGTTTTTATTATATACTTTATGTACAATACCTTGTCCCCTTTTATTGATAGGCCTTGTAATCCTTGGGGGCCAACTGGTCCTTCAGAACCCTTTTCACCCTGAAAGTGCATGGACAAAATATCAATGTACTAATAAATATAATGATTTTAAAAGAGTTTACATTATGATTCCTATGAATTGTGATTCAAAATTATTTTTAAATAAATCATCCAAATTCATTGCTCACTACAAATGAATAATTTCAATTCTAATGAATTTATTAAAACAGAGACTAAGGGTTGGGGATTTAGCTCAGTGGCATAAGCGCCTGCCTTGCAAGCGCGAGGTCATGAGTTTGATCCCCGGTACTGATAAAAGTAAAAAAAATTAAATTAAATTAAATAAAAACAGAGACTAAAATCAAATAAACCAAACCTCAGAAAATATAATAATGTATCTTGCTATATCTAAAGTTTTAGACCCTTACTTCCCATATCATTATAAATTAGCCACATATAGAGAACGCCCACTGGCCTGACTGGCTGGGGAATGAAGTATGCTGAACAACAGGGTTTTCTGAACATCACCACAGAATTTAATCACGTACAGTATACTTGTCCCTAAAATCACACTGAACATAATATGCTGTCTCTTTGGTAAGACCAATACCATTGAATTATTATATACTGGAGCATTTCATTATATCAGATTGTATATTGTATAAAGATATATTAAACATGCCACTAAGTCCTATCTTGGAATATATTTTGTAGTGTCTCACATCTTTATCTTTACTTATCTTCAAAACATACCATATGCACAGAATATAAGAGAAATAATCCTGGCTATTTGATTTTTACAGGGTCTCACAGTTAAGCCTGCCTTGAGTCTCAGAGGAGACTTTGAACTTTTAACTTTTCAGCAATGCTGATACAGTTTGTTTGAACTATACATAGAAACAAAATTTTCTAGGTGCCACAAAAGCCCAAGAATTATATAATATAAAGCTCTCTGAATTGTAGCACAAAACAGCTGGCCTCTATTTTCTAAAAACAGTCAAAGGAATTAATCACATTTATCCAAATATTTTTCCATTATTGTTACAGATTTTAATGTGTTAACAAAGACCTCCTTTAAAATTCAAACCAAGTTGGTGCAAATACTTTGTTCTGGTTAATTGTTGTCCCTCTAATAATGTTAAAATGTCTCATAGGGAGGTGAATATTGATCGTAATGGAAGAATCTCAGACTGAGATGCAATTTTAGAGCATGAGACCACATTGAGGTGACAGAATGACCTGACAGAATGACTGATAGAGAAGACCTGTGATTCTCTGGTGTATCTTTACTTACTCTGAAATTTTGGTGATCTTACCCAAAGTATTCTGGAAAACCATTTCCCGTGTATTTCTTGCCAAATATATTACAGGTTTTAGTTAAACTACATAGACCAGGGACAAGAAACTGCAACCTGCCTGCAGGAAACAGTTTCATTTGCGGAGCCACATTCATCCATTCATACCTTGTTTATGGCTGCTTTCAAGCTGTACCAGTTGATATCATACGATAACAGATATCATATGGTTTATAATACCTAAAATATTTGCTTTCTGACTTTTGCCAGCAAAAGTGGGCCAACCCCTGGTGTGGAGTTATCAGAGTTTCCAGAGTTATACGTGAGAAGCAGAAAGACCTTTTGAATCTTCAGGGTCAAAGGTCTTTCTTAACATTTTGTTCATACAGTAAAATTACTTTTCTTATTGTATTGATGGCAACATTATTACAAATTGCTATATTAAACTTTTTCTTATCTGTGTATTATTCAAAATAAAACTGTGAGCAACGTGTTGCCATCAGTATGCCCAATAACAATTTCTGGTTATAAAGATGCTACTTACAATTGTGGATTTAAGAAATTAAACTACCTTAAGAGCTTTTTCCATATAATTTTATATGTGATAGATATATAAAATGGAAGTCTGCTGATTTCTTACTTTATAATTATAATTTCACCATAAGGGGAAATTTACATATTACTTCACTTCATAGGGTACAAATACTTGACATATGAAAATTGGCATTTTAAAACTTTTGCAATTCATGGCTGTGCAAGACAAAGCACATTTTCCTAATTAAGCATCTATTCTTACCTTTGGGCCTGGAACTCCTTCTCCAGGTACGCCCCTCTCTCCTGGTGCTCCCTCAGGACCACGGGGACCCTGGTTATATAAGGAGGGAGTAAGGAGCAGAGGGCAAAGAAAAAACAATAGAAAGGGGAGAAATGGAAGACAAGAGAGAGAATAAAAATGGTTATGTTTTAATTCACGTGGACATAATAATGAATAGTCCCATTAGGTTTTTAGGGGACTCTTCTACTGAGGTTCACTCCAATCAGTAGAATGAGAGAGCGGTAAAAAATATTCCCATTAATTAAAGATTTGTTCCATTTGATTGGCATAAGAGTTTCTATTCCAGTGTCTTCAAATTAAAAGAAAATGTAAATTGAATGATGCTTCAAAATAAGGATTAGGAAATAAATCCTATGAGAAAAGGCTAAAAATCTATGACTGTGAGATCTGCAGAAAGATACAGAGTGATTTAATAATTTGACTGAGTATCAGGGAAGCCTGGTGAAGAAATCACTCACAACTGTTGCTAAGCATTGAACACTGGTTACATGTGCTTTAATTTCTGTCCTGATAAATGTAAATTAAAATTTGAATTTCTTCAAGAAGTGATTAAATCCACTAATGTAAATTGCTATCATGATAGGATTATTAAAAGGAAATGGAGCTTTCAATCTCAGTAACTAAATGTCTTTTTATTTTAAAAAGAAAAAAGAATAAAAATGATGATATGGAATTTCAAAACAAAATAGGAGATTAACAATGGCTAATATATTGTGTATTACCTTCAAATTAGTTGTCCAGATATGAAAAACTGATCAATGAAAGCATAAATCTTTCTTTTCAATGAACTAATAGAATGCACATATATATTCTTTTCCCTTTTTTCTTTCTCTCCTTTCTTCCATCACAGTTGTTCTTTTCTTTTGAGTAGTTTATTCCCCTTTCACTTCCACAATATGTAGTGTACATTTTGGATCTTATTTACTCTTTCAGCTTTTTATACTAGGGAGACAACACAATGTTAACACATGCTTGTCTAATTTATTTCACTTATCAGTATGGTCTCAAGTTGCATCCATTTACTTATAAAAGCCTCGAGTTTGTCTTTATTGCTCAGTAGTACTCCACTATATAAAAATACCACACCTTTTTTTATCCATTCTTCAACTGATGGGCATTTGAGTTATTTCCAAGATTTAGCTATTACAAATTGTGCTGCTATAAACATGGGTTAGCATATATCACTGTGGTATGATGTTTTTATTTATTCTAGGAGAACCTCCAATCCTAGTTTTTGAGGAAACTCCACATTGATTTCCAGTGTGGTTGCACCAGTCTGCACTCCCACCAACAGTGGAATAGGGTTTCTTTTACCCTATAGCTCATTAGCATTTGTTATTGGTTAATTTCCTCATGATACCATTCTTTCTGGAGTGATATGGAATCTCAGTGTTGTTTTAATTTGTATCTCTGAAATGATCAGTGATGTTGAGCATTTTTCATATATTTATTTGCCATTTGTATTTCTTCATCTGAGAAGTGCATATTCATCTGAGATGCCTATTTTTAGATTGGGTCTTTGAATTTGGCGGGCCTGATATTTTTCAATTCATTATGTAGTGTAGATAGAAGTCCTTTGTCTGATGACAGTTGACTAAAATTTTTTCTCATTCTTTTCACTCTGTTGGTGATTTCTTCTGATGCGTAAAAACTTTTTAACAAGATGAGTTCCCAGTTGTTGATTCTTTGAAGTACTTCTTGTACAGTGTGTATTTTGTGTATGAACTCTCTGCCTATACCTTTGTCTTCAAGATGTCTACCTACTTTGTCTTCCCGCTGATTTAGTGTTTCTGCTTTAATATTTAGATCTTTGATACATTTTAATTTCAGTTTAGTACATAGCGATAGGCATTGATCTAGTTTTTCCCTCAGCATATGGAAAGCCAGTTTTTCCAGCACCATTTGTTAAAGGGGTTACCTTTCTTACATGAATGTGTTTGGCCCCTTTGATAAAGATAAGGTGGCTGAGTGTGTCTGTAGTTGCATCAGTGACTAAAATTAAGAAACCCATGTAACTATTGCATGGAAATACACCGGAAGAGGAGAGGGTTCCTGACACTGCGAAGCAAAACAACACTGTCCCAGGCTTCGCAGCAGCCTGACAGGAAACACATTAACTGAAAAATAAATACAACAGTGAGGTCTTTATTTAAACTGGGAAGTTTGACAGCTACAAATTTTCTCTTTTTCTTCTTGCTCAGAAGCCAAAATAAGATCAGAAAGACAACAAGGGTCTTAAAAGCACAAACTTGAGCTTTTGCTCTGTTAAACCTGGAGAATAATTAAGGTTCAGAGGCAGGGGAAACCAACTCATGACAGAACAAAGCTGGGTCCCTTACAATCACTGAGGTCAGCACCTTTCAGACCGGGGTGATCTTTGAAGCGGGGTGAAGTTTGAAGTGAGTAATCCAGGGTTACTTAAGAGAGGTCCTCTCAAGAGCCCAGTAGCAGAAGTGGGATATAGCACTATGCTCATCAGTAATTGGTCATCAGTAGATTTGTACATAAAACAGAAATTTAACTATATCCTACTGTTCATTTCTGTCTTTCCCTAATATCGTATATTTAAAAGACAGTCATTTTTAAAATCTATGCATACACAACTTTGTAAAGAATTTAATTAAAAGAAAAATCTGACATATAATCGGATTTAAATTGCAACATTCCTCCGAAACCTAGCTTTTAACACTCTAAAACCTTAATCAAAGCACTAATATACCTGACAGCTTACTTGAATGGCAGAACAATTAGCTAAGGAAAAATAAAAATGAGTGTGAAAATTAGATTGCAAACTGACTTGAAAAGTGCCAAATTAATATCACACCCTTTGACAAAGAGAATATTAGCAAGTTATGCTTCTTCCTGAATGGCATGACAAATAAAAGAACACAATGTACATTAAACATAAGGAACAGGGCTGCAGTGTAGCTCAGTGGTAAAGCACTTGCCTAGCATGTGCACGGTCCTGAGTTTGCTTCCTAGCACCTTCAAGAATGGAAACAACAAACAAACAAAAAGCATAAGGAAGTTTTTTTTTTCATTCATTCAACAAACATTTATCAAACACCCAATAGGTAGAAGGAACTCTGCTAGCAAATAAATCTGTTGCTAATCCAACATCATAGTTATAGGGAAACTTTAGTGTCTTTTGGACTGAAGTTCAAATCCCAGGTGTGCCATGTATTAACAACATGACTTTACACAAGTAATTCCTTCTCTCTAAAGTTCAGCCCAGACCTCAAAATGATAATAATGCTAACATCTACCTCAACCACAAGTGTCAATGTGAGGATTCAGAGAAATTTGATGCTCTTACATATTAAGCACCTATTAAAAGCTGCTGTGATTATCAAAACTATTTTTACTGAGTCCATCAATTGTTACTGGAGTCCTTTTGTGGTGGTCTTTACAAACAAGGGGGCCTCTAAAGGAGTTTCCATTAAACTATGGAGAGCGCCAGCACCACAAACTCTCACAAACTGGAAATCTCCCTGCTCAGCATTCCTAGGGCTCCTGGGGTAGGGTAAAGCACAGAGATGGGAGGTGTAAGAAGTTCCATGTTCAGAGCTGCTGAGAACAGTTAACACTCATGGCCAAACACTTAGGAGATTTTATAAATCCAAGCCTTAATTCCTCTAAACCACCAGAGCAATACTCCACACATCCTGTGTATTCAGGCTGTCAGCCTCACCGTCAGGATGGAAGATAATTATTAACTAGAGGAGACAAATGGCAGGCACTTGGGTTAGATGAATCACACATTTAATTTGTTAAGAAGTACCAAAGGATCATTTTTTAAACATTTTAATTGACAGATAATAATTGTGCATCATTTTGAAAAGACAGAAATGCCTCTATAAAAATCTCAATTTCCTTCTCAAGGTCATAAGTACATGTGATATACTTATGGGGCTGCTAACAAACACCTCTAATAAAAAAAATCTAGTGGAGGAAACTAATTATCAATTAACATAGTCTAATCACTGAAAAGCTTTCCTAAGACATTAACAGTAAAATAAAATAAGATTTCTCATTACATTTTAAATACTTGCCTTAATGAAATCAGTGGTGCTAATAATATGTGACTTTAATATACTCTGCAAGCATTAAAAATAAATTTGCTAAATAGTAATAATAATAATAAATGGCCATTATTTTAAAACAGTGTCATCTACTTTATTCCTAACCTCAAAGTAATTAGAGTTCTATTTCAGGGGATTTTTTTAGTGAGAGTATTTTGAATAACCTTGCACAAAAAGCAGATTACCTTGGCAGTTTCAGCTCATTTACTTTTCATGAATTAGTTATCCTTGCCGTATCAGCACAAAACTAGTAGTAATCACATAAAGATGATTGCTGACAGTTCAGAGTTAGGTACTGGAGCTAGAATATTCATTTAATCTATCAGATTTACACACCATGGCATTGGGGGAAAAAATAGCCACGGATCTGCCCAGCAAAGCAAACAACCAGCAGAAAGAATAGACAATCTACAAAATGGGAGGGAGGGTGGAAAATAGCCAGCTATTTCTCAGATGGTGGACTAATATCTGAAATGTATATATGGAACTAAAAAATGTAACACTCCCCAAAAATAAAAGAGCAAAGCAAAAATGGGCAACTGAAATGGACATTTCTCTGAAGTACAAATGCCCAATAAACACATGAAAAAATGTTCACCATTGCTGGCCATTACAGCAGTGAAAATAAATACAACATTGTGATACCATCTTGTTCCAGAAAGAATGGCTATCAAGAAATCAAATAATAACAAATGCTGGTAAGAATGCAAGGAAGAAAAATATACTTCTACATTGTTGGTGAGAATAGGAGCTAATACAACCACAATGGAAACCATAATGGAGATTCCTCAAAAAACTAAAAATAGGAATTCCACTTGACCTAGCTATTCTTCTTCTTGGTTTCTTCCTAAAGAAATTGAAGACATCGTATCATTGGGATACATGCATACCCACATCCAAAGCAGCAGGATTTGTAGTAGCTAAATTTTGGAAATGACCTATACGCCC